CTTTTAAACCCATAGGAGGCGGCTCCCAGTGGAAGGCAACAGCCTAAAGACTCCAGCTGCCCCAGACCCTCAGCAGACCCAGGAAATCAGAGAATCAGTAAGTCGTATTACAGCCACATGCCCCCACCTATCAGTTGGATTAAGCGTATCCTATCAGTTGGATTAAACGAATGAGCCAACAAATAAGTCCCGAGTACAGATCCTGTTTCCAAGTTACTTCACCTGTATAGTTGACCCTTGAACAACATGGGTTTGAACTATGCGGGTCCACGTACATGCAGATTTTTTTCAGTAAATCTCTTAGAAAATTTTTTGGAGATTTGCAACAATTTGAAAAAAACAGACGAATCGCGTAGCAGAGACATTTCAAAAAAACTGAAAAGTTAGGTATGTCATGAACACATACATATATGTAGATACTAGTCTACTTTGTCATATACTGTCATAAATATATACACATCTATTATCAAAAGTTAAAATTTATCAAAATGTACGCACACAGGAGACGAACCATGAGAGACGATGGACTCTGAAAAACAAACTGAGGGTTCCAGGGGGAGGGGGGTGGGGGATGGGTTAGCCTGATGATGGGTATTAAAGAGGGCACGTTTTGTGTGGAGCACTGGGTGTTATGCACAAACAATGAATCATGGAACACTACATCCAAAACTAATGATGTACTGTATGGTGATTAACATAACAATAAAAATTAAAAAAAAAAACTTACCCACACAGACATTTGCAGAGTGCACATGGTGCCATTTGAGTAGAGAGAAAGGTAAACAAATGTAAAAGTATCGAATCATAACCATATAAAATTAACTGCTGTAATAATTTCCTAAACACCTCTCATCGCCATTGTGGTGAGCTCAAGTGTTGTGAGCATCCACCTAAAATGCCGTGGGGGGGGTGGAGGGGGCACCTGGTGTCTCAGTCAGTTAAGCATCTGCCTTCGGCTCAGGTCATGATCCCAAGGTCCTGGGATCAAGTCCCGCATCGGGCTTCCTGCTCAGCGAGGAGTCTGCCTCTCCGTCTACCTTTCCCCACTGCTCATGATCTCTCTTTCTCACTCTCTCTCAGATAAATAAAATCTTTAAAAAAACGTGGCGCTAATCATCTCTGCATGAGCAGTTCATCTCCAGTAAATTGCGAATCACAGTAAAAAGGGGTCTCTTGCAGTTCTCACTATCAGTAGTTAAGTTTGGGGGGAGTCAAAAGTTACATGTGGATTTTCTCTTTTTTTAAATTTTTATTTATTTTTAGAGCAAGTGTGCGAGTGGTGGGGGGAGGGGCAGAAGGAAAGGGAGAGAGAGAGAATCTTAAGCAGGGTCCATGCCTACCTCAATGCCCAGCTCAGGGCTCGATTTCACAACCCTAAGACCATGACCTGAGCCAAAATCAAGAGTCGGATGCATAAGTGACTGCACCACCCAGGCGCCCCTGGATTTTCAACTATACATTGGGGTCAGTACCCCATCCGCCTCACTGTCTAAAGGTCGCCTGAGTCTTGGTTTCTCGTCTGTGAAATGGGAATAATCCTATCTGAATAAACATGTCTTATTTTGTTAATTTTTGTTTTGTTTTTAACGCCATACCCAGTGTTGATACAGTTCCTAAAAATAGGCTTTCTCATGTACTGCTGGTGGGAGGGTAAGCTAGTCTAAACCCTCTGGGGTATAGTATAGACTGGCAGTACCAGTCAAATCCCTAAAAATGTGCCCGTCATCTGGCTTAGCTATCTCACGTCTGAGAATTTATCCTCGGAATTTATCTTAATCAGAACTATGAACAGTTGTCTGTCTGTAAGATCTTTATGCCCACATTATTTCTAATTTCAAAAAGGGAAAAATATGAAGTGTCCAGAAGGGGTATGTTGATTGAATTAATCGTGGTATATCCAGAGATATACCACGTAGGCCACTATGTGCTATTAATGATGATGATACAAAAGAATTCTGAGTGGTACAAGGAAATTATTAAGAAATACTGAAATAAAGTAAGGAACAAAACCACAGTTCAGTATGTTCTGTTATTTTTTAAATAGATATGTCATTTAAAAAAGGCAAAGAAGATATAAACCAATGTGTTTCACTGAGTAATTTAGAATATCGTATTTGTAATCTTCAGTAGTTCCAAATTTTCTGAAAAGAACAGATATTACTTCTGTAGTAGATGTTTTAGGAAAACAAAAGCATCACAGGAAAGTAAACTTCACAGAGTTTGCAGTTGGAGCACCTTTGCCCATAATGTGAGAAAACCATGAAGTTCACCGATTCAGGCCTCCTTGTACCAGGAGGAAAAATGTGTCCCTTGAGGCTCCAGGTGCCGGGGATGGTCGCGGCTACCTGGGTAAATAGCCTCCTTTTTGCTTATGTAGCTTGTCAATCTCCCCAGTTTCCATCCGTGCCCCTGAGCACACTGATGGAAACACCAAAATTAAGCCTCATGATTTTCTGGGATGCCTGCAAGGGTCAGAAACTAAACTTCCATGTGAAATTGCCTATCTCAATAAATTAAATTCATGTGTGCTTTTCTAAAAGGGCTTTTCATAACACTAATACCTTTGAATCCAACTGGCTTCCACAGACCTAGGAGAAGGAGCAAACAACCTTTTTTTTTTTTTTTAACACAAGGTCCAATTCAGGAAAAATAAAAATGTTTATGAGCCACATTTTTCTCCCACCCAAAATAAAACTCGCTTTTTTACAGTCCCATAGGAAAAAAACAAAACAAAACAACTGTTCTTATAAGCTATAAACGACCTTATTGCAAGGAAGACAACAGTTGTAACATTTTCACTGCTTTTTGGCCATCTTTTTCTGGGCATAGGTGAGATGCAGCAGCGCAGAGGCATCCTCCTGATTTTTCATCTGGAGAATGGGGCCACTTAGTGTGGTTGTGGGCTTTCTCTGGCAGGAGTAGAGGCACTGGGTGGGTTGTCAGGGTGGGATGGACTGGAAGGACAAGGCAGGATGAAAGTCCGAGGGGGCCCAAGCGATGCCGGAGGAAGGAGGGACCCCATGCTCCAGGAGAGGTAGCCAGGAGGCAGGGTGGAAATTCACCATCCACATGGAGCATGCTTGAACAAGCATCTTGGCAACAATGTATCGGCATACATTCTCTTCTCCATGAAAACTCTTTCTCGCAGGGCACCCGGGTGGCTCAGTCGGTTAAACGTCAGCCTTCGGCTCAGGTCATGATCCCAGTGTGCTGGGATCGAGCCCTGCACCAGGCTCCCTGCTCGGTGGGGAGCCTGCTTCTCCCTCTCCCTCTGCTTGCTGCTCCCCCTACTTGTGCTCTCTCTGTCAAATAAATAAATAAAATCTTTAAAAACAAAACAAAACTCCCCCTCTGCTGGGTTCCATCTTCAGGGGTGGTGGCCACAGGATCTGATCTGATCGAGTGGAATCATTGAGCCCCATGCAGTTGTCTCGGAGGCGGAATTATGGCCTTCCATAAGGAGAAGGCAGGCTTGAGGGACCTGCTCGGGTTTCTTAAGAAAGAATAAGTAGGGGCGCCTGGGTGGCTCAGTCAGTTAAGCATCTGACTCTTGATCTCAGCTCAGGTCTTGATCTCAGGGTTGTGAGATGGAGCCCCGCGTTGGGTTCCAAGGTGTTGGTCATGGAACCTACTTAAAAAAAAAACAAACAAACAAATAAACAAACATGCATATAACCGGGAACTTATAGATCCGATTCAACTACGCTCTCAAAAATTCTTTCACAAGATTCCACAGAAAGTACACTTTAAAAAGTGGGCTGTGATGAGAATCGGTCTTAGAATTGTCACTGCCAGTGGAGAGTTGTATTTGAGGGTTAACCACTGCGTATATAACATCGTAGGACTCCCCTCGAAATCCCATGTCTCTGAAGCCAGCTGTGGCATGGAACGAAACTCAACTGGAAGTGCCGTCACCACGGAGCGGCCCCCTGGAGTTTCGCTGTTGGCACCACGCTGGTCCCATGCTGAGCCTGTCATTCATTACAGATAGATACACCCAGACACACGATCCTTATCCATTACTGTTAATTGGGTGATGTTTTTCAATAAAGTATAAATACACGGCCAGAAGGGCTTCCAGAATTAAGACACTCATTCCTGCCCAAATGTTATAGTATTGTGTTGCGGGCGGTTTATCTGTAGCTGTCACATCCCTCTCCTTTTTTTTTTTTTTTTAAGATTTTATTTATTTATTTGAGAGAAAGAGGATGAGATACAGCATGAGAGGGGCGAGGGTCAGAGGGAGAAGCAGACTCCCCGCTGAGCAGAGAGCCCGATATGGGACTCGATCCAGGGACTCCAGGATCATGACCTGAGCTGAAGGCAGTTGCTTAACCAACTGAGCCCCCCAGGCGCCCTCCCTCTCCTTAACTGTAAAACGGAACCCTGTGTTGGGGCGCCTGGGGGGGCTCAGTCGGTTAAGCGTCTGCCTTCAGCTCCGGTGGTGATCGCAGGGTCCTGGGATGAGCCCCGCATCAGGCTCCTTGCTCAGCGGGGAGCCTGCTTCTCCCTCTGCCTCTGCCCCTGCCCGGGCTTGTGTGCGCTCTCTCTAATAAATAAATGAAACCTTAAAAAAAAAAAAAGCAACCCAGAACGCTGTGCCAAATAGGCACTGGTCTGGGTCTGTCCTCACTTCGGCCGGTGGGGGAGAGCAGTCCACCATCTCTGGGGTACAGATGAGCGGAGTGCCGCTCAGCACGCCGCAGCCAGGAAGGGGCCCAGCCTGCGTGCGAATGCAGGGCCGTCTAACCTCGACTCGTTAACTTCATCCCCAGACGGGAGCTGCAACAGCAACAGCCAGAACGCCTGCAGACACGATCCCTCCCGATTTTAGGTGTCGCAGAGAGAATGCCCCGTAACCGGGAGCAAGGCGGGCCAGCACGCCGCCCCGGCCCCGCCCCTGGACCGGCGGATGGTTCGCTCCGACGGCTCGGGCCGCGCGCGCTGTGTGCTTAAGTGGACTGGACAGTGATTGCTCTGTGTTCGCTGCTCTCTTTCAGCCCTTTGCTAGCTGTGACCTTTGCCACTTGCTGTGCTGTTCCAGGAGTCGCCCTCCTGACCTGGGGGGTGAACCCGCTCACGGGAGCCCTGGGGGTCTTCAACATTTTCCTGTATACTTGCTGCTACACGCCGTTGAAGAGGATCAGCATCGCCAACACGTGGGTGGGCGCCGTGGTCGGGGCCGTCCCGCCCGTCATGGGCTGGACGGCAGCTACTGGCAGCCTCGACGCCGGTGAGTATCTCGCGTCTGCTGTGTCCACTTGGGCCCGCAGGCGCGCGGCCAGGGTGCCCGAGCCAAGTCCTCCGTAGCGCCCCCTGCCGGCGAGCACGTGCCAGTCAGAGGCATTTCCCGAACCCTAGTCCGTGCTGGTCCCTTTTAGTCTGTACTCACTCTCTCGGCAAACGGGCGGATGCAGCGGGCTGAAATACTCTGAATGCAGAGCCGAAGGGAGACCGTGTCGTCCGACTTCCAGGCGAGCGTGTGCTTTCCAGGGTGGGGAATGTCTGGGGGAGAAGCTAAAGGAAAAGCAGTGACTGCACAGGTGGAATGAAAAGCAGGTACCTAAAAATCACGAATCAGGTTGGGGCTGATGATTCCTTTGGGGTGTCCTGGCATCGTGGGGGGAGGTGTCTGGGATGAGGCCTCCAGCTCTCCTCTGGAAGCGGATGCTCCATCGTGGGCAGCTCCCTGCATCAGCTCTTCACCCCCTGGTGGAGGAGCAGACCCATTTTCATTAGTTTCTAATTTGTTTTTATATGATTTGCTTAAATTGTTCATGGTGTCTACAGTAAAACCATTGAAACAGATCTTCTTTTTGGTGGTATGTCACAACGAAATTTGTGGGGTGAAAAGAGCTCATTTTTACCATGTGTAAGGGAAGCTTCACAGTCTAATTAGCCAAGTAATTAGTGTTTTTGACCAACACTTAGGAAGGAAGTGGTGAGGTTTCCTGCAATATATGTAAGTACATATTTTTCACATGAGAGATCAAAAGGCAGTTGACCATAAACCATTGCCCCGTAAGCCACATTTCTGAGGCTTTTCATAAAAGCCCTTGCACTCTGACTTGGCAAGCTTACAAAGGCGATTACACCTTTAGCATGATCGTCTCTGAGAACGGTTTTAATATCCTGTAAATGTTAGAGTTTCATGAATCTACAAATAAAATATTCTAGACCATACATGCTCATTTGCTCCGCGATAAACCCCCAAGCCTGAATCTCGTCCGTGTGGGAGCCGTGGCAGCTCGGTGGTTGGGAACCAGCGCTGCGGGGCAGGGGTGCCCCCGGGTTTGGAGCCCAGCTCCACCTCTCATTAGCCGCGTGCCCTTTGGAACGTTCTGGACTTCTGTATGCTACTGTCTCCTCCCCTCCCACGTGGTCCCCTCCCCCCCACGTGGAGTTGTCATGAGGATTAAATGACTTATTATTAAGTATTCCTCATTTGTACAGTAGATGGATTCATACAGATCGAGAAAGGTCATGAGATTTTATTGATTTGCAAACTCTGAGCAGTTTGTAATTGTTACCAGGCTTGGTGGGAGAGACCACTGGGTCCTTAGTGATGGCTGTCTTGGGCGAGGGTGGAGAAGGTGGGAAGCATGGGTTTGATATCCCTAGACTAGATGGTGTCTGAATTTACCCCCTCGATTGCACCTGCATACCACCAAATTCCTGGTCAGATTCCTCATCCTAGTTCTGTCTGGAGCCCCAATCTTGACCCAAACGGCTGTTGCCCCTAGCCGTTTTTTTTATCATAGTAAAACCTAGCTCTCCCCTCCTGTACCTCTCCAGAACTCTCTAGTGATTGCCCAGACGTCTGAGGTGGGGGCCCTGAAAGCGACCCGTCTTGTGCAGCGATGTGGTGCCCCAAGTCTTATCTGATGGACACAGCCCCACACCCTGCCAGGAGTGCCAGAACCTTATGCAGGTTCCTCAAACCCAGCCTAAAGGAACCAGACCCCCAAAACTACCTTTCCTCTCTGGGAACTCCCAGACGGAGTCACGGCTGGGGCCAAGTAGGAGAGCCCCGGAGACCGGTGTCACTGAAGATAGGTGGAGGCAGTCTGGTCCAGGGCCATGCTGAACTTGGTCACCTCTGTCATCTGTCGGGCACCTAGATTCTTGCTGAGGGATAGAGGCCTTTGTTGTACTCCCAAGCGGTTCCCTCAAGAGGATTTTGAGCCTCAGCGTGTGTTGGCTAGAGTTGCATCCCCAGAGGCCAGAGAAAGAAAGAACTTTGCAGACGTCTTCCCACTTACGTGTTCAGGGACGGTGTGGATTTGCTAATAGTCATACTTAAAATTTAAAAAAAACTTTTTTAATTTGGGGTATAGTCTTTCTGTAATCCAAATTCAACCATTTGTATACAGATTCCTTAGTGAGGGATAGCTAAGGGCCAGACTTAGGTTGCAGAGTAAAAATGCATGTTTATCTTGAAAAATGAGACCCCATCACCTACCTGAACTGACCCTGACATCAGGCAGAGCCGTCTGAAACAGATTGGTGTCACCACAGAGAGGAGTTGGTTGAAGAAGGTTGACCTCTATTACATCCTTTTTCTTCAAATCCTAGAGGCACGTGACAGGGCACACAATTATGGCTTGGTGTACTGCCCCCCGAATTCTAATTCACCCCCGGGTCCAGTCCTACACCTGAAGTCTTATCAGATTTACAGTGTGTTACTTTACATAATGCTTTAAACTGCTTCCAAAAAAAGGTTCAAAACATTAATTTGCTAGAGCAAACTCGAGATAAGCAGCAAGTCTTGGATTAAAATTGAATGAATGAATCAATCAATCAATCAGTGAATAAGTACCTTGTATTTTACAGCTGACAAAACTTGGTTAATCCCAGGTCAGTTGCCAAATATTTATTGAGCCCCAGCTATGTGCCAGGGCCTATAAAGGAGGAAGTGATCCAAAGAAATAAGGTAGAATCTGAGAGAATGTAGTTTCAACATTGATATCACTGGGATTTTAAGACACGGGGTTGAATAAGATTTTATATATATATATATATATATATGTTATAGTTTTGTCACCTTCTAGAACTGTACCATCCATTAGGACGCCCACTAGCCACATGTGGCTATTTTAAGTTTTAGTGTCAACTAAATAAATTTAAACACTGAGTTCTTCGGTCCCAGGAGCCATATTTCAGCTGCTCACGGCCACACACGGCCAGGAGCTGCCATACTGGTGGCACAGAGAAGAGCGTTTCCGTCCTTGCGGAAGGTTCGTTTGTCAGTTCTGCCGAGAAGGACACATGGATGTCCTTATGAACCTATGTGCCCCATCTTCCTCGTGAGTTCGTGCTTTAAATGCTAGGGCATCGAAGGAGACTGCACCTGTGGTCTCCACAAACTCTAAAGCAGTGGTTCTCAAATTTGAGTGCACCTCAGAATCACCTGGCAGGAAAACCCAGGTTCCTGGGCCTGAGAACTTGCATTTCTAGGAAGCTTGCCAGGTGATGCCAATGCCCCTGGTCCAGGGACCACTTTAAGAACCACCAGCCTGAGAAGACAGAATGGAAGAGAGCTCTGGCTGTCAGGATATCTTGGAAATACCTCAGGATTTGGGCAGAGGGAGCAGGGTAGATGGCATGATTTGAGACGCACACACTCACAGAGGTTAGGTCTCTCGTCTGGGTTCTTATCTCAGGGGACATGCTTGCTTTGAAAGCGCCCTGCTGAGAAAAAAAGCGGCCCCACATGTTTCCCTTCTGTGGGATCTCCAAATACGTTCTGTCTTTGACCCTCGGAACTGCAGTGATAGGAAGGAGGAGAGGAGGGTGGAGGAGAGGCAGGGAGACCACCCACTCAGCTCGTCAGCCGGCTTCGTGGTGCAGGTATCAGTGAGGACCTACTGTGTGCTGGGCACCGAGGAATTCGGACTTGATTGAAAGGCACTAAAGACCCCTTGGCGGTTTAAGCAGGAGAGCAGCTGGGCCCGGAGTTGGGGTTTTATCTTAACAGTGGGCCGTAGGTGGGTTCTCTTTGGTGTTGGAAAGCAGTACTTTGCTGGGCCCTCCTTGGTCCTCCCAAGCCTGTGTGCCTTCTCTCTCCTCCTGGCCCCTCTCCAGTAGGCCTCTACCTGTCCTGGGCCTGGCCTCCACCCTCCTGCCTTCCCTAGTCACATTTCACCCCTCAAGTATTTAGTGAAGCATCCATCAGCTCCTCCTTTGCAAGAGCAGCTTGTGAACGCCCGTGAACCTCCAGGTGGGCGTGGATGCGGGGTATGTGTGTGAAAGGGGGCCGACTCCACTGAGTGCCGTCCATGCCTTTGGTCCCTCAGTCACCCTGACCATGGGAACCTCCATAAAGGCCCCTTCCAGGGCCCGGAAGGCAAGATTGGAACAGCTCGAGGTAGATGGGCGATGGAAAACCCTACAGCCTCCAGACCTATCTAGTTGAGAAGAAAGATAAAAAATAAGTGGCCCTAGAAAAACAATTTGCATCCCAGACGGCTTGCGGAGTAAGGAAATGTTAATGTTCCAAAGTACTTTTCCCCCTTCTCAGCATCTAGATCGTTTTGTGGTTTCTGTGGTGGCTACAAGGCCGATTAAGACCTCCAGAGGGTCTGAGCCCTGAAGAGAGAGATTATGCTGCCTTCCGTCCTCCAGTCAAGACCGAAAACCTAAAATAAGCATAAGGACATCCCATGGGGTTCTGATCCCCCCCATAACTACTTTGTTGTTTCTTCACCAGACAGTGAAAAAGGCTTTCCTTTCTTTTTTTTTTTTTTTTAAGATTTATTTGAGAGAGAGCACAAGCAGGGGGAGGGGCGGAGGCAGAGGGAGAAGCTGACTCCCCGCTGAGCAGGGAGCCCAGTGCGGGGCTCGATCCCAGGATCCTGGGATCATGACCCAAGCGGAAGGCAGACGCTTAACCCACTGAGCCACCCAGGCTCCTTTCTCATTGTTCTAGCTGCCCCCCGGGTGGCATGGGTGCAGAGTGAGTGTGCCTGCCCCACCCCGTAGGTACCCCAACACTTGGAGAGGGAGGCCAGATTTGGAGTGGGAGGGGAGCCAAACGGATCACCAGATAGAAACCGGGAAAGCCAAACCAATGTGAGTTCTTGAGATCTGCTCCTTCGGGGCTGATGCTCTTCTAGCTGGAAAGCGCTAGCTTTGCACAAACATCACGCAGTGGGGTTTTTGTCCCCAGCAGGGCTGTGTTGTCACATGCTGGGCCCTAGCTCAGAAAGCCCCTTTTGCGGCCAGCTCGGCCAT